AGGGTGTAGGAGGTCTGGGTGAAGGCGGGGGCGTTGTCGTTGACGTCGGACACCAGCACGGTTATGTTGTGCTGGGTTTTCAGTCTCGGTGTCCCCATATCTGTGACGGTGATGGTGATGTTGTACTCGGCTCTGCTCTCTCTATCCAGAGGGCTTTCTGTTACCAGGGTGTAGAAATTCTTTAAAGTCGGTTTTAGAATGAATGGCAGATTACCTGGAATAGAGCAAACCATCCTTCCATTGTCTCCGGAGTCTCTATCTCGAATTCGGAAGATGGAGACTACAGTCTCAGGAGCATTTTCTGGGATGGAGCAGGTGAGTGAAGGTATGGTAATTTCAGGGGCGTTGTCATTCACATCTGCCACCTCTATGGCTACAGTGCCTTTTCCGGAAAGGCCTCCTCCATCTGTAGCCTCAATTTCCACGTGGTAAGATTTAATTTGTTCAAAATCCAATTTCTTTGTCAGTCGGATTTCTCCTGTGACTTCATTTATTGAGAAAGTTTGTTTAATTTCCTCTGATGCTTGGAACAAACCGTAGGAAACAGTCCCAAAGTTTCCAGCATCTACATCCCTAGCTAAAACAGTAAGTATTGGGGAGTCTAGGGGGATGTTTTCCAGAACCTGCACCTCATATGGAGTGTGCACAAACTCAGGAGCATTGTCATTGACATCCATGATCAGGATTCGTAACATGCTGGTGCCAGACCTAGGTGGAGACCCGCCATCCAGCGCCATGAGGGTTAAGCTGAACTCAGGCTGCTCCTCTCGATCCAGTGCTTTGTCCTGCACCAAATCTGGATATTTATTGCCCTCACTATGATTTCGAGTGACAACGTGAAAATGAGAATTGGGGCTGATAGTGTATTTTTGAAGACCATTGCTGCCCACATCCAAATCCTGAGCTAATTTCAACGGAAAAACAGTCCCTGGCTGGCTGTTTTCCGGTATTTTCAGGAGCATTTCCCTATTCGGGAATACTGGGGAGTGGTCATTTATGTCCTGGATTAATAGTTCTCCTTCAAAAAATTGCACCGGAGTTTCCAGGAACACTTGGAAATGCAGCACACAGGGTTCAACGGGGCCACATATATCTTCCCGGTCTAGTTTCTCCCTCAAAAGCAAATCTCCAGTCTGGCGATCTAGCAGCAAGCGCTGCTTGTCATCGTCACACACCACCTGGGCCGACCGGGCGGCCAGCTCCCCAATTCCCAGGCCCAGGTCCTTGGTCAAATGGGCTATAAAGGAGACGCTCTCTGTTTCTTCCAGCACAGAATAACGAATAGGCGCAGGGTGAGCCTGAGATAAGAATACTATCAAAATAAATGTCATCACTTGCCTGTTTTGTTGAATTCTCTCTAGCGTCTCCATGTTGGAGCCAGAGTGCTTACATCCAGTCCCTTCAGCAACCACAAAAAGACCCGAGGTATTAAATTCTGACTTCTTGCTTGGTAGAATCTTCACAAAATTGCCTTTAATCTTAAAGTCGTTTAGTATATCGCTTCCCAAACTCGTTGGTAACCCAGCACGACTGGCAAAGCTTCTTCTGTGTGGTGTTGATTTCGGCTGGCAACAAAGGAACACGGGAGCTTTTTAGGGCTCCTTATTCACAGTCTTAGCCGGCAGCGCCACCCTGCGTCCTTATTGAGAAACTAATACTGTAGTCTCAAGTCAGCCTATTTTGGAAGTGTCCAAATGCAAGCCCTTTAAAAAAGTGTATAGAAGTTTTTTTTTTTTTTTTTGCGGTACGCGGGCCTCTCACCGCTGTGGCCTCTCCCGCCGCGGAGCACAGGCTCCGGACGCGCAGGTCCAGTGGCCATGGCCCACGGGCCCAGCCGCCCCGCGGCATGCGGGATCCTCCCGGACCGGGGCAAGAACCTGCGCCCCCTGCATCAGCAGGCGGACCTCCAACCACTGCGCCAAGAGGGAAGCCCTAGAACTTTAAAAAGTTTTGTTATTCCATTAAATGGCTTAAGGTATAGGTTATTCCATTACATTGCATGAGCTAGAATAATTGTGAGCACAAAGCAAGGGGCTGTCTTCCTCTCCCCATACCCTTACAAGTGGAACTTAAAGAACTCCATTTCCCCTTTGTCATAATCTAACCAGGGGAGATAAACTCTTATAAAATTATAATTAATAATAGTTTTATCTGTTTATTTCCAAGTATGTGAGAAATTTATGATGGTGCAAAAAGTTTGTGTAAGGTGTTCTGTACCACTTGGTCTCAGGTTCTATTTTTTTACACTGGTGTGCAAACAGTAATACAGTTGAATAAAGAGGCATCTTGCTTTGTTATAAGTCCTTTTACAGTGTGAACCCACATTAAAATATTAAGGAGATCAAATAGTATTAGAATCAGATTCTTAGATCCAGAGAGGAAATGAAAGGATTTTTACAGATAAAGAAACAGAAGCTCAGAGGGTGATAGGACTTGATTATTCTACTTGACTATTATCAGGATAATATCAAGACAAAATTGAGTGAAAATCATAGAATTTTATTAAGGTAAAGCCTTTAAGTTTAAGCTGATTTAGCTAGATATCTGTATTTAATAATGAGTTTGCTTCTTACCACATTGATCCTTTGTAGCCCAGATATCACATTCCTTGACTAGCCAATTTGCGGGAAGACAAGCAGTGATTTAAAACATTTTAATGTGTGAGCAAAGGGTACCTCAAGCTTTGCCTACTTATATATGGTGAAGAGGAGAGACTTGTTTATAAAATGGATTTCAGTGCAGCATGCAGCTATTGTGATTTCCCTGATATAGTAAGTTAACTGAGACACAGTTAATCAGTTTACTGGTTACAATTAGTATATTGAATGGAGTACCACTTATCTTGGTACATATGGGATTTCTCCTCAAATATCTTATAATTTAATTACTTAATTAACTTCATAAATTATGATCCACATTTAATGAATTATTTTAAAATCATGTCAGTAATCTTAGATTCTGATAATGATAGAAAATATTAGGAAAAATTATTATTATTATTATTTACTATTTTTTGGCCATGCTGCGCACATGCGCAGTCTTAATTCCACAACCAGAGATCGAACCCGTGTCCCCTACAGTGGAAGCGTGGAGCCTTAACTGCTGGTCCGCCAGGGAAGTCCCAGGAAACATTATTTTTGAAAGAAGCCTGGACTATAGTAGTCATTCAGTAAATATCATTTGGATAAATTAATTAACCCACTCTAATGATCATATTTCTACCTATATTAGATTACTGTGAGATCATGCATTCAGCCATGAACATGTCTGACACTGAATACAGAATTCTGAGAGATGAGAGTATAATACACGCTAAGCACTGTTCAAATAAATTTACTTTTATTCTAGATCTGTTAATTCCTGTTGTAAGAGATCTAGTAATAGCAATAATAGTAATATTAATATGCTGTAGAATTTTCTTTCATGCTTAAGGCAAATCAGAGAAATATATATCAACATTAAGTGAAATGATAAAAAATAATAAACATACTGAAAAGAAAAAAAGAAAATATTATTTTAGATATAAATGGAAAGCAAATTTCCTGAATGAAACAAAAAATTGTTTCGTACTATATTAACTGAGCTCTAGTTAAAGTTAAAGAGTTCAGGACAAAATTCAAACTAGATTTTGTTTACTTATTCCTATATGCTGACATAGTAATAGTGTTGCAGATTAGCTCTTTTCGATCCCTTTTGTCAGTCCAAAACAAATGAAATCTAGGTAATATTAACATATATGTGTCACTATATGCCAGATAGTACTCTATGCATTTTACATACACTAACTCATTTTATCCCTCAAACAACCCTATGAGGTGGGCACTCTTATTAGGCACATTTTATAGACAAAGACGTTGAGGAATAGAAAGTTTAAATAATCTGCCCATAGTCATGCACCATGTGAAAATGGCAAAGGTAGGATTCAAACTATTACAGAATGGCTCCAGAATCCATTCTTTGATCTAACTAAGTGGAATTAGAGAGGTGAACAACATTTTAGGTAATTTAGATCCAAACTTCAGCCTTGCCTTGGGTACACAGATATCATAGGTGAAATATATTTCTATTCAAATTTTCAATTAATATAAGAATCTTTTAAATAGTTTGTCTCCCTTTAGAGATAGGTACCAGCAAAAAGAGGTGTTTACAAAATTTAGAAATTGAAAGGAAAACTAAGAGTCTTTTGTTGAGATCATTAATTAGGTTTAAAAAAAAAAACTAAGAGTGACATGAATAATGAATTCCCTGTAGCCTTAAATATATATATATATATATGTATAGATCTTTTGAAATGTTATCAGTGTGTAAAGTTAAAATCAAGAAAGGTGGCCTAAGATGATAGTTTAACATTGCATCATGGATTATTTGGCCAAACTGCCAAACTTATCAGAAAAAAACTATTATATCTGCACGGAAGAGGCAATAATGATAAAGAGAATGACTACCTGCAAAACCATTCCATTCCAGTCAGGAAAGCTGCATTATCCATTCTGAAGGATTCATACAACAACTTACACAATTGGTTGCCAGACCTGAAGCACAATATTTAAAACATTTCTTCCATTTTGAATACACAAAGAGAGATAGAATAGTTAGAGGGATACTCTGGTAATTAAATATCAGTTTTAATTCCTCCTTGGTAAATTACAGGCAAGAACTTTAAATATCCTTGAGGGAAAGATAAAAATCATTTTAAAGGAATTTGAATACAAGAAGTCCTGAAGTTCAAATGCTAAACACATACTTTGAAGTTTTGAGTAGTCTCACTTGTTTAAAAAAAGAGAGAGAGAATGCTTTTTTAAACTTCATGATGACTTGAGGGCTGTTTTGCTCTTAACTTGGAGGGGGAAAGTACAGAGGGATATTAAGCAATAATTGTTGAAAGGAGAGATGAATTGGTGAAATATGTATTAGATTTTAAATAGTATTTTTAGTTACTGAAATCACTTCAAATAGTATTATTTCAAAATATTAAGCAGCATTGATAATTGGTAATTATAAATGGTTTCTAGATTTTACTAGAAATTCTTATAAAAGGAATTATCTTTTGGAATTTTCTACTAAATAGATAAATTAGATTGATCAGCTGGCCATTCAAATGAAATAACCGTAAAGGAAACAATACTTGTCACTGGTAAAAGCAAACTAAAATTTAATATCTTTTAACCTTTTACTATCTTATAGGTAAACTGAAGCTATGTTTTTAAAAAATCACACTAATTGAAATGCAAATTTAGAAGGGAGATATTTGAATAATTAGAGTGTTTGGCCTTAGAAATTTGTGATGAAATCCAATATAATTTCTAATAATTCCTTGTATTACGTACTATATTAAAAATAGGGGCTTCCCTGGTGGCGCAGTGGTTGAGAGTCCACTTGCCGATGCAGGGGACGCGGGTTCGTGCCCGGGTCCGGGAAGATCCCACATGCCGCGGAGCGGCTGGGCCCGTGAGCCATGGCCGCTGAGCCTGCGCGCCCGGAGCCTGTGCTCCGCAACGGAAGAGGCCACAACAGTGAGAGCCCCGCATACCAAAAAAAAAAAAAAAAAAGTATTTGTATGTTTAATTTTTCAAGATTGTTTTGGCTACTTGCATTTCCAAGTGAATTTTACTTTCAATTTGCTAATTTCTGCAAAAAAAAAAAAACCAAGCCTGCTGGGATTTTGGTAGGGATTCAGTTGAATCTGTGAACCAACGTTAAATCTTCCAACACATGAACAGTTTTCCATTTACTTAGGTTTTCTTTAATTTCTTTCACTGATGTTTTATAGTGTTTGGCATACAAGTCTTGCACTTATTAAATTTATTCCTAAGTATTGTATTATTATTATTATTATTATTATTTTGTGGTACGTGGGCCTCTCACTGTTGTGGCCTCTCCCGTTGCGGAGCACAGGCTCTGGACGCGCACGCTCAGCGGCCAAGGCTCACGGGCCCAGCCGCTCGGCGGCATGTGGGATGTTCCCGGACCGGGGCATGAACCCGCGTCCCCTGCATCGGCAGGCGGACTCTCAACCACTGCGCCACCAGGAAAGCCCAGCTGTGGGTTTTTATAGTTGCGTTTTATCAACTTGAGGATATTCCCTATAATTCTTAGTTTCATGAGTGTTTTTATTATGAAAAGGTGTTGTATTTTGTACAATGCTTTTCCTGCATTTATTGAAATGGTTGTATGGTTTTCCTTTTCTGTTAATACGGTATATTGCATTAATTGATTTTCATATGTTAAATCAACCTGTATTTCTGGGACAAATCCCACTTGGTCATGTTGTATAATCCTTTTCACATGTTGCTGGAGTCAGTTTGCTAATATTTTGTTGAGGACTTTTTGTACCTATATTCACAAGAGATAATGGTATTTAATTTCCTTTCCTTGTGTTATCTTTGGTTCTGGCAGCAGGGTAATACTGGCCTCATAAAATGAATTGGGAAGTGGTCCCTGCTCCCTTTTTTTTTAAAACAAGTTTGTGAAATATTGGTGTTAATTCTTTTTTTAAAAAAAATATTTATTAATTTATTTGGCTACACCTGGTCTTAGTTGCAGCACTCGAGATCTTCGTTGCCACATGCAGGATCTTCATTGCAGCATGCAGTATCTTTAGTTGAGGCATGCGGGATCTAGTTCCCTGACCAGGGATCAAACCTGGGCCCCCTGTATTGGGAGCATGCAGTCTTAGCCACTGGACCACCAAAGAAGTCCTTGGTGTTAATTCTTTAAATGTTCAGTACAATTCAGCAGTGAAGCCATCTAGTCCTGGCTTTTCCTGGTGGAAAGTTTTCTGACTACTGATTAAGTCTTGTTGAATAGGATGAAACATTCAGGATAAAGAAATCCATTTCCCCAGAGATAAATATAATGGGGAAAAAAACCTCAAAAGACAATACTTAGAGAAGACAATTTTAATTTTTGATAAACTTCTAATTTTTCTAGAACTTCAGTTTCTAATCAAAGTCTTTCCTCATGGACAGCCCATATTAGTTGGACACTAATGACTTCAAAAATCTGAACCCATGGGCTTCCCTGGTGGCACAGTGGTTGAGAGTCCGCCTGCCGATGCAGGGGACACGGGTTTGTGCCCCAGTCTGGGAGGGCCCCACATGCCGCGGAGCGGCTGGGCCCATGAGCCATGGCCACTGAGCCTGCGCGTCCGGAGCCTGTGCTCCTCAGCGGGAGAGGCCGCAACAGTGAGAGGCTCGCATACCAAAAAAAAAATATATCTGAACCCATTTGTCTCTGATATTCCAATCAGAAACCTCTCATAT